AAAATGTTTGAGACAAATTGCTGCAATGAAGTTGGGCAACTTACACGTTATCGTCTTTATAATTCTCAATGAAGTCGTAAACGAATTTGATAGTCTTTCTGCTCATGCTGGTTGGATCCTGTCCAGCAGCTCGAATAATATTTCTGAAAAAGTCAAGCTGTGATAGTGATTCATGATAAAAAATATACTGCGACACTCACTGGATGCTCTCATCCATAGGCTCTGAGTCACACATATTGTTTGAGAAACCATTATCTTGATCCCAGCCAACATGTGCTTTGTGCCTGAAACAAATTGAAGATGTTAATAAAGCAACCTGGGCATGGAAGCCTCTCACTAGGGAACATGAGTTTAGTTTGCGAAAACTCTCGAGGAAAACAGAGTTAAAAAGACAAGTACTGTACACGTGGAGAAGAGCTGGACTGGGAATTCGGAATGAGCTTACTCTGATCTCATGATCAGTTGCAGCGTTACATTTCGATCTGGCCCAAAACGGTCACAGCTAATTCAACCTCGCTGTTTATGGAGGAAGTTTTGCACTATTCACACAGCAAAACGAAAGACAGCGTATCGCGCCTTGTATGCCATAGTACAGTGGCGTATGGAAGCAATATGTTCCGTGATAGATTCATAATAGGAAAAGGCCATAGCAATTAGCGCCGCTAGCTACCTACAGGCCTAAATATCTAAATAAACGGTTGCTAAAATTTCAGCGCCAAGTTGCGCGCCTTCACTGAAAAGTAGTTGTTCGCGTCGAAACAAGTTTCATGTGCTCTCCAGGACATTTTTCGTTGTTTTTCAAATGCAGTGTCACATACAAAAGGCCTACCAACACGCAGACCACCGTTACTGTCACAGTTAGTACAACCAATATCCCCCAGTTTCTTCTTGTCAAATTGCTTGCAGTAGGTTTTATAACCGGAGGATCACAGAAATAAGCATATGCAGTAATCAAAGGAACTCTCAAGTTCCTAACTGAGTAAATTTCTTGGAAATTCCCAACAAACCAAGTGTAATAATCTTCAATATTAATGACGATATGAAGCGACAATTTCGAGCTTCTTTTGGATGAAACTAGCTAATGAGTGTATTTTATGTTTCGAGGGCGATAAACTTGTTAATATAAGGTTGATGTGAAAGTCTTGGGACCAGGGTCAACCCTACGTTGGGACAAGTACCAACGGGGGGGGGTCGTAGTTTGTTGAAGTTTGTGGTGGGGGGGTCGTACTTGTTTCGGTAGCACGAAATTACATGTAATGAGGTGAGAGCGCGCGGGAGAAAATTTGCTGTTTCTGTGTTTTCAGGCGTGTTTTTTCTTGCCAAGAAATTCCCACTTGGGTGACATCAAAAATGCTATGACTGAACTTCAACTCTCATTCCTCCTATTTCTATATTCCTAGGAGAAAGGAATAACCGACTTGCCCGCGTTAGATGAGCGTCATATTAGGTTGGCAAGAAAGTTCTGCGACACTCTTTCTAAAATTTTCTTTTTTTCTGAAAAATTCATAGGTAACATTTATGACTAACAAATGGTAGAGCATTCTCGAGGCTTCAATCCACGAGGTGGATATAAGTGCTGCAGTCAGTAGTTATCCAAGAAAATTCAAAAAACTTTGACCACTAGTAA